CCTATCCTGTGTACACCTTACCCTATCCTGTGTACACCTTACTCTACCCATTTTGTTTATTCCCTATTCAAGCTAACCTGTATCTTAAGACCCAAACATGTATGCTTTTCTGTTTTGATATTTATCCATCTGTTTTCATCAGTGATCTTGCAGGACATGACCCTGTTGATAGTCAAGCAAAGCCTCCAACTCCAGTAAAGGCAACATCAATTCATCATGGCTCAATATCTGGGGGATCTGCTCCAGTGAAAAAGAGACAGGCACCAACACCAGCTTCAGCGCAGGTGAAATACTTGGGTTCTACTAGTCCAGTGTCTACCTCCCCTCCCCTCCCCCTTGCAAAGCCAACTGGACTCCCCCCTCCCCCTCCCAGTAAACCCACTGGTGCTCCCCCTCCTGCTCCAAAACCAGGAAACAACAAAAACTAACAACTGTTTATTGTTACCAGTAATGTCATACTAATTTCGTACATGATAGAATTTAAGACAAGGAAACTGTATTGCTCTTGATATTTTTGAATTATTCATAGCTCAAATATTATTTTATATATCAAATAAATTGCTATTCTGGTTTAAAAAAAATCTAAATAAGCATGATGTGTGCTGTAAATACCAATAAGGATAAGTAAAAAGTGTGTGAAATGGTCTGTTTTTAGTCAATAAATTTACAAGTAAATTATGGTCTATTGCTCTACAATAAATAACTTTCCGTCTAGTTTTTAGTTTCAAGATTTATCATTAAATTGTTGCACCATACTGTGCTATGCACCATACTGTGTCATTCTTTTTTGACAACTTTAGATTGTGCTGCACTAGGAAATAAGATATTGGCGCTTTACTTTGATGTATTGAAAGGCGGAATTTGGACATTGAGTGAAGTGCCGATACCTAATATTGGTTAGCAGTAAATTAATCAAAACACTTGCAGAATTGTTAAAGAAATGTTCAAAGAGATACTAATCCTGAGCATTTTCTAAGCATACTTATCTTAAGAATATAGATATACCTGCGATATGTTGGTCACTTGCTTTCGTTCTGATGTTCAATATTAGTCTGAGGTCCTTCATGGACATCAACATGTATCATCAAGAGTGAAGGTTGATAGAAGTCCATTATTATTCTGTTCATTTGTCATAAAATACTATAATGTACTAACTAGTTCAACTTTAAACAATCTAACACATCTGTTTTTAGAATCTTTTATTGTATATATTAACAATAAACCATACCAACCTATATTATAAGTCTATTTCCTATTACAATCTAATGATTGTCCTACTTGAATTATCTACAGTAAATAAGTGTTTTTTCTGACTCAAAGTCATTGATTATTTTGTAAAAGAATGCAATAGAAGTAAAACGTTTGGTCATATATTCAAATAAAATGGTATTCACCAAATAAAGTGAGAGAAAAACCCAACCTTTGTTAAAGTTTTAAATGTCTTTGCCTCAATACAATAGTGTCTTTCCCACACTGAGCCATTTAAAAATTTCAACCTCCATACAAATGTGCCTCCTTTGAAAGACTGTTTCTTTACATCCATCATTTGTATCCCCTTAAAATTACAACTCAAGAAGAATGGAATACAACCCATATCCCAATTGCTACTCATTGCTCTATTACAGCCCTACTCTATTTCCTACTCTCTTTATAAGATATATAGTAACAGTGAATCTTTGTGTCATCTATTCATACTTGGGAAGAATTCTTTCTGTTAAAGCTTGAAGGGGTTGTAAACTTGAAGTTTCAAAGATGATATCATTACCCTCTGGTTGACCAGGCAATGATTGTCTGGCAGGGTCTGTAGTCTGTGTTGGTTGGTCAGGCAATGGGTGTCTGGCAGGGACAGTAGGCTGTGGTGGTTGACCAGGCAATGATTGTCTGGCAGGGTCTGTAGTCTGTGTTGGTTGACCAGGCAATGGGTGTCTGGCAGGGACAGTAGGCTGTGGTGGTTGACCAGGAAATGGGTGTCTGTTGGGGTCTGTAGTCTGTGGTTGTTGACCAGGCACTGGGTGTCTGTCAGGGTCTGCAGGTTGTACTGGGTGCCTGGGTGGCAATGTGTGCCTGGTGGGGTTCGTAATTAGTACTGGTTTGCCAGGTAATGGTTCTCTGGTAGGAATTGCATGTTGGACAGGTTGCTTTGTAGAATGGCTGCTGGGGTATCTGGTTGACTGTGTGTGCCTGTCAGGGTCTACATGTTTGACTTGTTGACCAGAGAATGGATTTTGGCTTGGGTTGTTAGTTTCCAACATGGAAGGGCTGCTTGGGTGTATATTGTCTGTTTTAGCTGATGAATTTTTGCCTGTTCCTCCTGGTGTACATACTTTTTCCAAGTTTCTGCTTGTTTCTCCTATTGGCTGCTCACTTTCAGTTGTAGAGACCAATGTCTTTGCTTTAATGATAGATACGGTATTCAATTTTAGCAATGTTTCTTTTATTGGCCCTTTTCTTTTTGGCATTTCATTAGCTGTAGATGTCATATTTTCAATTGGTTCTGCATTACATTCTTCATCCCTGTTTCCTTCAGATTCCTCAGATAATGAAGCTTTCTTATTAATCTTGTTAACTTTGTCATTTTGCTCATTCTGCTTCTTATCAAATGCTGTAATCTTTTGATGTTCATAACAAATCTTTGGCTGGAATTTCCCATCACTACCACATGAATTACTGCTTGTTGGCTTTAGAGCAAGAGTTGACAGCAAGAATGGTGGTGGTTGGGAGATCTTCAACATTGATTCATCATGCTGCTCTAATGAGGACTGATGATATACAGATGAAACCAAAGGAAAGGATTCTTTTGATTTTTCAAAAACTGTCTGAGAATCAATCTGGCTTGGTATTTGGTGTTCACTGATTACTCCTTCTTTTGCTTTTATAAGCCTGGCTGCTTCAGTAATGGAGGACGTGTACAGATTTTCTCTGGCTGTATTTCCATTTCCCATCATATCATTTTCCACTGATGCGGAAGAGTTTTCTGATATGGCTTTGATGTGTTCCTTGATTCGTTGGAATGGCGTGATTCCCGGGCTCGTTTCTTGTGCTATTTCTTGTTTATTTATGTTTGGAGCATAAGAATGTGGATGAACATTAAGTCCTGCAGACGTTGTAATAGTCCCACTACCATCGGGAGATTGAACAGCTCCAGAGGTCGATGAGAAGAGCTTTTGACAACCTTGAAAATACACGTGTCTCCGTAAATCGGAGCTTCTAGCAAACGTGGTATTACAAACGTTACAGTGGTAAGGTTTTTCGCCAGTGTGTGTTCGTACATGTACTTTAAGGTTACTAGAGTGGCTGAATGCACGATCACAGTATTTGCACTTGTAAGGTTTTTCACCAGTATGAGTCCTAACGTGAACCGCAAGTCCACTGGGTACAGTGAAGGCTTTTCCACAGTAACGGCATACATGGGGCTTAGTTTCACTGTGTGTCTTGATATGTTCATTTAATATAGCCAGATCATCAAATGATTTATCACAAATATCACATCTGTAGTAATCAGGCTCGGATTTTCCCAAACTGTGGTTGATGATGTGATTACGCAGATGCGAGCTTCTAGAGAACGACCTATCGCAGTGTTTGCACTGATATGGCTTCTCCCCTGTATGTAGACGCATATGATTCTTTAAATTACTGGAGTGATTGAAAGCCTGATGACAAAACTCACACTTGAATGGCTTTTCTCCAGTATGGGTTCTCAGATGAACGGTCAAGTTTCCTGAATGAGCAAAGGACTTTAAACAGTGTTTACACTGAAAAGGTTTTTCCCCAGTGTGAATGCGCATATGCAGAGTGAGTCCGTGTGCGAGCACAAAGCGTTTGCCGCATTTTGGACAGTCAAACTGACCAGTTTTACTTTCATGAGCAGATAAATGCTCTCTGAACTGACTCTCACTAAGGAAGTTACGATCACACTGAGTACACTGAATCAGCTCACTGTCATTGTGAACACGAGCGTGAAGTGCAAGGTCTACAGAGTTGGAAAATGTCTCTTCACAACTCAAACATGGAAGTAGTTTTTTATCTGCTGCAGCAATGTACATTGGTTTGGTATCATCGTGACAGCTTGGCAAGTCATCATCTTCTTCTTTGAGTGGCTCASCTTGCCTTTCTTCAGTAGCATCATTCCTTAGCTCTATCTTCACAGCATTCAAGTGCTTGACTCCTCCAGTATTTTTCAGGTGGGTAGCCGGACGGTCATTTCCTGTGTGAGCAGATGAGTGAGGAGTGATTCTAAATTGGTTTACGGGACTTTCTCTACGATACGTCAGTTCATGTAGCTGCTTAATAGGATCCGCACTGCCTTGGTTTCCAGACAAGCCTTTCTTTGAATGTTCATTACCGTTTGTTAGGTGAGTGGATTTCGTATTAGCATCAGTAGGTGCGAGATGAACAACCCTCATTTCGTTGACACGATTAGCTTCATAGGTGGGTGTTTCTTTAAAGATAAGTGCTTGTAGCTGCCTCAAAGGGTTGACATTGTTGTGCTGATCGCCCTTTATTTCATTACTGTGTTTCTTGATTGAATGAATTTCTAAAGTTTTCTGATCTTGAAATCGTTCTGTGCAGAACTTACAAGACAAACTCCTAGTATCTTGGTTAACAATCTTCGCTTGATCAACTGAACTCGGTCTTATGTGCAGCAATAGGTGCCTGGAAAGTTCTTTAGGATTTGAACAAGTCTCTTGACAATAGTTACAACGACATGGCTGCTGTTTCATGTGCAATACCATATGCAATGCTAACGCTTTACAGTGAGTAAAGCTCTTGTTACAAAACTGACATGAAAACGGCTTCAAACCTTCATGTAATGCCACATGAATAGTCAAACTATTTTCATCAGAAAACGATTTATCACATTGCCCACAGAGGTAGGGCTTGGCTATTATATGAGTATGTGTATGCCTTGCCAATCCACTAGGATCACTGAATCTTTTGTAACACCTTGGACATTTGTATGGTCGAGAAGCCACATGACTTTCAAAATGATTTAGAAGATGCTCTTTTCCTGGAAATGACTTCTTGCAAATTTTGCAGACAAACTCCCTTATACCAAGGAATTCTGTAACAAAAACAAATAAATCTTTCTTCCTTAGCTGTCTGTAGAATTTTTAACACAAACTTACAACAACATTACAACTTACCTTTTCTCACTGACATTCTTTTTGACGCATTGAAGTAAGTATCATCTTTGCTCTGCTGAAAGAAAAAATAATATATTATATTTGGATTATCAAATGTTAAAGTAGGTTTGTATGCTTCTTACTGGCAAAAATACTAGAAAACTCTTAGCAACAGGCTGGATGCATGAAGGCTGAATAGGTATAGCCCTCTCCACCTCACAAATCCTTATCCAGCCCCATACAACTGTCAGCTCCAGATTACACATGGCTGAATTATAAACTAACCTATTGATAAACAAATAACACCACAACATCCACACCCACCCATCCGCCCCATGCACATAACGAGACTCACCAATTTTCTCTTTCTTGGTGTATTCTTTTTTTCATTACTTTTTGCTGATTCACTAGCTACAGCTTTTGCAGCCTCAGGGGTCATAGCCACTTGTAATTTAGATGTGGCAGAATGACACTTTTTGACATTCTCTGGACAAGGCTCCAGAAATACTGTTACAACTTCACCAGAAAGAAGATTAGAACATTCTTTGGGTTCAATAGTCTCACTTTTGAATTCAGCTGTAAAACTGCTGTCCTTGTTAGATGTGGTTATTTCAGGTTCTTGGCTGATCTCTTCAGGATCAGAACTACAGTCTGACTCAACCGGCTGTTTGCTGGTTTGTTCAGAAATTTCCTGTGCCAAAAATGATTCAAAGAAATGCATGTAATATATAACATTATATCACAACAACAGAAATATTATGTAACAAGCCCCTGGTCCAGTATTGGTTATCTTTTATAACTGGATTGCAATAAATTATTTACAAAATAATTATTCTAAGTATATGTTGGTGAAATGTGATCCCATACATAATATATATCTAAAGGAAAGATTTATACCTTAGGTGGTTGATTTACCCATTTCATCTCACCAGTAGTGGAGTTAAAATAATACAAGATTTGTCCTGTATCACTGTCTACAACACATAGTTGTTCTTGATCAGTACTCATCCTTCTTGTCTTGGTATCAATGTGTTATGACAGAATATCTGCTGCAATAAAGTAACATATTCTATGATTATATATATGTGTGTGCATTGTGCCATGATGACGTTTAGCTGATCTTAAGCTGTTCGACCAAAAACATTATGAAAATGTAGTAAGCAAGAGCTTAAGTAAAATGAAACAACTAGTACTGTAATCATCATTGTTGTATAAACAAAATCATTTCATTTTCACTAGAAGTGACTTTATCAAATACAACCAGGGAAAAAAGAATCAAAGAAAGAAAAGAAAAACAAAAAACCTTAATAAAGGTAGAGGCAGGATATTATTTAAATAGAGAATCAAATGGTTGTTTTGTTGATAAATCAAGTTATGTATGCATGTTATTGAACAGGTACACCCTGTCTGTCATAACAGACAGTCTAAAGTTCACTGTCAATTGACATATTCATATTCATTCTAATATGATTATTTTTCTTTGACATGGTGAAATAGAAATAATAAATCACCAGTGTTTTATGTCAAGACTCGTTTCATCATTCATTATATGCAAAACACTTTACACACCGACAGCACGTTACCTATGCCTACAAATCCTGTATGTAAGAAATACCAGAGATTATACTAAGCATTATCATTACAGTTAATCACGTTTAAGAGTGAATTTTAATCGAAAAATATGAAAAAGTATTACTGAATTCAAAGACAGATACCAGATGATTTTAGTTTTCGAATTATGCGCCTATAATTGTGTAGACTGTTTATGATGACCCGATGCGCGCAAGCATCGTAATTACGGCGAAAGTTGTTGATTCAAACCTGATGCTAATAAAGGTAGAAAGAAGGGAAAAAAGACAAAACATTGAAAAACCCAGTAAATGAAGACGGTCAAATTGTATTCTAGTCCTTACTGGGGCCAAACAAAGGTTGATTCTACAGTGAAGAAAGATGAAACATCATCATCTGTGCTGGAATAATGCTTCTTCATCATCAACTCACCAAAAATGAAATAACATCGAAAGCAAAGCCTAATTGAAGTATATTTCTCTTACAATGGAGACTATTTCAATCAAGTTTACATTTATCAGTTGCTCAGGAAATCTTTCTTTTTGATACGAACTGACTACTCACTTTTGATGCGGCTGCTTGAAAGAAACTCCGATCAATTGTGATACTGTATATTCTGTCACTTGTCTTTCATAGATCCAGTACTAGTACCCGCGTATTACTCACACAGAAAGAGTCTTGAAAAACAGTAATGGTAGATAGAAAGGAATAAGGTAATGGTCTTGAAGAAAGACAACTGTTTTACTTGACTCTATCTCTAATCGGTGACTGTATAATATCTTAGACGCGATCATCTTGCATATGATGAGCTCATCAGCGGCGACTATGACACCTGGCCTGGCAACCATGTGTAACGCAATACATCTCTGTGTCACTAATAATATTCATAATATACATAATATGCATAATATTCTTGTCACAAATAACAAATAAATAACGAAATAAATGAATGTTTTGGTTTCCAGACTGACGTTAACAATTATAAATATTGATAAATATACTACTGGTTTAACTTATTAGTTGAATCTTTTGGCTTATTAACCTTTTTGCTTTTTTATGAAATTTTATAACTCCCGTTTTCTGTCCCAAAAATTGGCTGTGTGAATTTCAAATATTCTATTTTCCTGAATTATGTGTTTTTGATCAACGAAAAGCGAAAGTAATGATCATGACGTGTCGTTGCCGTGACAACAATACTGACAGACTAGKGCATCCATGCCCACACGTACGTATGATGCAGCCTCACTTCCTGTCACGTGATATTTTGCTAACTTTAGTTGACGTCTGGCTCACGAAGTGAAGTGCTTGTGAGCTTTCTTGGTCCTTTTGCTGCTAAATAACGTCTACAATGCCTGATTTCTTGTACATTATAAACCAAAACTAGCTTTTTGATAAACTTTGGTTTTTGGGTTATGGGTAAGTGTTGTTCTGTTTGTGATTCTGGCGGAGAAAGAGAACGACAAACTTTACCCCAACAAAAAACTTCGTTCACTTCAAACCAACTTCATTCTAGCGGATCACAACACAAGCCAAAACTGGAGAAATCTTCAGAGAAAGGTTTATTTACTAGGCCGGGAAATAATGGTTCACACGAAATTGTAAGGACGATACCATATTCCAAACAGCTAGAGGTGGATGAAGGCAAGATTCATTGTTTGTTTGCCAAGTACAAGGATGATACAGAAGATGCAATCCTTGCAGATGGGATGGAAAAGTTTTGCCAAGACTTAGGTGTAGACCCTACGGAATTTGTTGTTTTGGTTCTCGCTTGGAAGTTTAATACATCTCAGATGTGTAGGTTTACTAAACAAGAATTTATTGATGGATGTAAGGCAGTCAGAGCCGACTCCATTAAAGGACTTCAGAATAAATTACCCGAACTTGAAGAAGAAGTGACGAATGATACAGAAAAATTCAAAGATTTATACCGCTTCACTTTCAAATTTGGACTCGATGTTGAGGATGGACAAAGAGCTTTACCTGTAAACATTGCTGTGGCGTTGTGGAAGCTAATATTCTCTAAAAACATGCCTGGTGTTATGGATAGATGGTTTGCTTACTTGAAGCAACGAGAAGTGAGAGGGATTTCACGAGATACGTGGAATATGTTTTACAATTTTACTGAAAGTATTGAGAGCGATTTCAGTAATTACGACGACTCAGAAGCTTGGCCAAGCTTATTTGACGATTTTGTCGAAAACGAAAGAGAGAAAAATGATAGTATTAAGGGAGACGAGGCAGAAGAAAGACATGAAAATGGTCTCATCAAGGAATTTTAAGCTTACATTTATGGGTGCTGCAGTTTTTATCATAACAACCAGTTAACATTTGCATGAACAAACACTCATCGTCTGCATTGCTTCCTTCTCCTAAAATGCTTTCAAAATCATTTAATTTGAAAAATTCAGAATAGCAAAAGATAAAACTATAAAGAAAAACTAAAAATCCTTAAATGTATTGTAAAATAGTTTAGTTAAAGTTATATTTAATAGGACAAGAAAACCTCCCCATAACACTAATGCATGTGTATGCCTGCCTGCCTTGAAAAGGCTTCAGTTTCAAGACTAACAAAAAACTACCACAAATAGGAATAAATTTACTAGCAATTAACAACAATGTATGAGTGTTACCACAAAGACCGAAAAACTCTTTAGTCTATCATGATTCAGAGACACAAACTCAGACCAAGAATATTCCCATATTGCGACATTTACAATTCACAGTGTTTAGAGTTATGTGAAATACTTAAAATGAAAGGTTAATAGTTGCTTTTTACAAGTAAATTAGCTTTGGATTTAAGCAAATCAATTTGTCATTATTTTTTTAACGAATTTTTTTAGAGGGAGATGTTAATAATAAATTTATTAATTTACAAGCTTAAAAAACCAAGAGTTATTGAAATAAAGGTTGTTTGCCGTCTGGAAGTACATGAATTCAATAAAAAATAATATTATTTCTGTTTAAAAAATTGTCTGGCATGTGTAGGAAAAATCATTGGCTCCACAAATCAGTGAACGTTTTTTAGGGGGGGAGGGGTTAGTAAAAGGGTGGAGTGGTTGTAGAGGATAAAGCAATAGCGCAGCGCACTGATTCTAAAAATAGCTTAAAGATTCAGACAAACATTGCATTCTGTTTAACCGCTACAAGGATTATACGAACCGATTTTATTATTTTTACTTAAAGTTACAATAATAACCCCTGTAAACTAAGATCAACTGGAATCGGCTGTGAAAATTGTCTGCTGAAAGTAAACTTGTAAGTTTGTTTGTCCGAATTTCACCTTTGTCTTCATATTTATGACGTCACGGCTGCGCTGCGCTATTTGTTTTGATTGGCTACTATTTGAAAATGGATCAAGAAGAGTTTGTTTCTTATTTTCCCCCAAGTCATCTTGTATAATGCACTGGAGCTGCTATAGATACTACTTTGACCAGAATGTTGCATTACTTTTAGTTGGATATCACTGTGCTTAAGGAGACATGTAAGGGTGATTCATAAATCATCATCATTTGACTTCCATCAAGATCTAAGGCCCCATCCACACTATGCCGGATAAATTTGAATCCAAATTTTTATTTATTCAGTTAGGCCTACTGTCCACACTAGTCCGGGCAAATCCGGAACAATTCTTCACTGAAAAAGAATTTTTTCGAATACGGTCTCCAGAGTGGAACAATTTGAAAACGCCAGCTAGTCGTATTAGTGTGGACGGAGAACATTCCGTATCCCATATTTTTCATATACGATGTCGTCATGATTGTCATGGGAACATGGCGGGAAGGCAAAAAAATCACTGCAGGCTCAATTTCAGCTTTGATGCACATGCTCAGATGTGCAATGAAGCGTTTTTGCCGCCTCTGATCGGACTAGTGTGGACACAAAACATTTTATCCGTTTCCATGTGTGGACAGAAAATTTTTTTTTGGTTTCGGTGTGAAAGTTATCTGGCATAGTGTGGACGGGGCCTAAGATACTATTTAAACCATTGAATCTTCTTCATCAATGCTTGCTCAGGTTCATCTATTGTTAAATATAAATGATTGTCAAGATATCAGATGACTGTTTTCATTAGCTAAATACCTGATAGTCACTGTCAAATAATATATATTGTCTTTTTGCATGTTAGCTCAAAGGAAGAAATAGATATGCTACTGATAGTTACACCCATATATCATCATGCTTTTGCTTAATTATTGCCATCCTCAGTTCTTTTTTCCATTCTCGGAAAAGAATGTCCTTTCCACATGAATTTGTTCAAGTCCTAATTTGCTTCTAGTAAGATAACTGAGCAGGGCTAGTGGGGACTGGGCCATACCCCACCACTTTTTACAAGAATAAAAAATTCTCTTACTTTGAGTTCCGTCATACAGGAAAACAGAAACTGCCTCCCCCTCCCCACTTTAAAAAAGTGTTCTTTACACGCCCACTTTAAAAATTGCTCGCCATTGCTACTGGTGGGGCTAAAGCCATATCCCTTCAGTTCCAACAAAATGAGAGCAATATGAAGCAAAGATAAATAAGAAATGGTCTGGTCTGTTTTCTATTTAATTCATTTTATTTTTAATTTTTCGTTTGTACAAAGCCACTAGTATGGCACATTGTTATGAATATTTTTTTCTTTACATCATGTAACAATTTCAGCAAATGGACACAACCTGACATTGAAGTAGAAACAGTAATGTGTAGTTCCAAAAATTATCCATACCCCTTACAGAGGACTTTCTTTAAAGACCCCCCTACCCCCAGAAATTATAATTTTCTTCCATACAAACTCTGTTATTTTTGTTCTTTCTCTGACCCCCCCACCGTTTGGAAATTCCAAATTCCTCTGTTGGGGATAATTTCTGGAACTACACAATATTGGATTTAAAGTTGAGGAAAATAGAAAGAGAACAAAAAAAAGCAAATTAATTACAATCAGTGTTTTCATGACTTGAATTGCACTTACATTATTTAATGTTGGAGAATATTAAAAAGGTAACACTGTAACAATTTTAAGAGGGCAAATAAAGGAATTTCAGGGTGTGCAAAAAAATGATAATTATGTTATTTGACATGTTTTTCAATTTCATATTTCTAAGTTGCATTATTACAGTGTTAATGTGCAATTTGAATTTGACAAAAACCTTTTTTTCCTGTTTTGCCAATATCATTAATAAAAAAACAAAACAAAGAAATTCACAAGCATGAAAGAGGTTTCGAAATGTGATCTGAATTAGCATAAGATTTGGGCAACTTATGCTTCGAACTTCTCCAAAAGTTATTAATAATATTTGAAAAGCCATATCAAGCACTTGAAAGAGTGTTTTATCCTCTATCCAAACACCTTGAAGTACCTCATTTTTTCGACTCACTTCTTGGTGTTTGGAAATTGGATAAAACATTCTTTCAAGTGTTTAATGTATTACTTGAACGATATGATATAAATGAATGTCACAGGGATTCTTGTCACTAAGAAAAAAAGCATCCAAATACTTGATGAAATATTATACAATCAGAACCTCCCTGATTAGAACAAGCATTGGTGTGATTTTCCTCAACGGTAAGATCCCTATAACCACTAGAGTTAGTTGTCCTCTACAGTCAAACCTCAACTAGATTTTTAATATTACACTGTTGGAATTGAAGAATTTCCAAGTTAGTATACCTACAATACTTGGCGACATATGAGCTAACATGACTGTAAAATAGGAAGAACTTGCTAAATAAAGTAAAAAAATGTATGAAAACATCCTTTTCCTAACCACTTTAAATGTCTATCCTTAGGATCTATTGATCAAAATATTATTGTAAGATAAGTCATTCCCATTTTAATGTTGTTTAGTAACAATAAAATCATTTGTATTTTAGTACCAAACTAAACAAGGCTGAGTATTTGTAAATTATTCTATTATTTTTCATACTTTAATTCTTAGTTTTGTTTTGAAAACATTAACTATAGATAGCAATATAAAACATCATTTAAACAGATACATATATTTTGATATTTTTATCCATTAAATACTTACATAAAATACCAGAGCTGGTTTCCTATGAATGATAAAATATAAGCATTACTAATCAATCTGATAACAGATATAATTGCAAGCTTTTTCCAGAAAGTATCACATAACTTTTCATTCATAGAAAACCCTCTCAAGCAACTAACATATAAAGATACATGATATCTAGAACTCTAGTACATTATAAATAACAATCTATATGCAAAATTAATGATTCTTATTTAACATTTTGAACTAAGGTGTTAACTGTTAACTATTCCTATTATTCTCTGACATTATTTCAAACACAAATAGCCCCTTGTTAGTGTGGGAGGTGGAGACAATGAGTGTAGTTTTGTCCCTTTATTTACAGCACTAAAAAAGCATTGCTTTATTGTTTGTGACATACACAACTGATCCTGTCCCACCAGCTCTCTCCTCCCTCCACTAACATGGCCTGTCTCTTATTATGTCTTTATCTATTTATTATCTAACTTTTACATGCCACTGGGCCCAGTTGTGCGAAGGGTGGATAGCCCTATCTGATGGATAAATCTTATCCAGTGGATAAATTTATTGTATAACAGCATCAACTTATCCATTGGATATGGATTTACTCAAAAAACTTTTAAGATGTCCTGATTTTTTTAGTTTTCATTGGTTGTATCATTATTATGACCAATCATTTGAATAATGCCTTAAAAGGTCCTTAATCTAATTAAACTTGCAACACTTGATGAATATGATGACTAGAAATGACTTTGATAATGACACCCTAAAATGGTTTAGAATACTTATCAAGTGTACAGCAAAATAAAAAAAGAAATTGTTTTGGTTAATCTTATACTAAGTAGAAATGTATTAGAGTGCATACCATATATCTGAAAAAAAGTGCATAGTGCAAAGTTTTGTAGGTCTACGGTCTACCGTGGTCTACTGAACTTACTAATTTATGCAAATGTGTGCAATTTCTTACAAAGTTGTTCATGGATATAAGGTATGCACTGTACTGTACTCACCTTTATTATAAACATATGCACCACTACACTCTGCCTGCCACAGCATGGACATGTACACAGTACATACTTATGATTACTTATTAAATTGTTCTATTTACTTTAAACATTAACTCTAATTCTTATTGATGAATAGCTGCTATACACAGAAATCCATAGCTTCTGAGAAATCATGAGACAAGTTATTAGACCCGGTAGCATCAAGTTCAAAGAGAGACAGTGGAAATTGTTCATGATGAAGAGAGGGTGATGCTCCATACAGTGTAGGTGGTGGTGAAGCTCTATTCATATAAGTCACTTCTGTGGCAGCTCCAGTAGGAGATGTCATAATAGGTGAATTACTCAAATCCAACCAGCTCAAAGTGTCACTTTTATGAACATAATTACTGGGTATGGGTATACTATTGGACATTGACATAAGGTGGTCTGTATCAGAATCTATTCTCATTGGTGATGCTGGACTCATTATGATAGAATCCAAATCAGCAAGGCTACCCTCTGCACTTGACTGCATACCATGCTTAGGATTGACATTATTAGGATTGTTATAACTTGTTAAACCTGTTACATCTTCACAGCTTCTTGACAATCTTCGTTGAAATTGTTGGTTGTTGCTTGGTGAGTTATGAACACCCAAAAAGTTTGCACTTGGAGACTTGGAGACGTTAGAATTGTTTTGCACGTGAGGTGCTTGGCCAAACCTTTGAGGAGACAGCTGATTGGGTGGTGAACTAATTATGACTTTGTTTGCAGTCGAATGAACAGGAGAACCGACAGAACTACCAACAGAAGCTGTAAACAAGAAGGCATGTTCCAATGTTAGGTTATTACTGTTATACAAATGATACCCTCTAGATTATGACATGGATGGGTGGATGGGTAGATGGGTAATAATCCATCACAAAACAAACACCAGTTCATATACTATACTTCATATAATATAAGAATTCGAGTATTACCTCCTAGAATTTCCAGGATTTCATCATTATCTACACCCAAATCTTGCTTCATCATGACCTTTGAAGTATAGAAAAATGAAGATAATAGATAAACATGAATAAAAAATATCATTGTTCTTACTATCCTGTTAAATTACATACAAGTTACTATCAGGACTGAAATATATTAGGTAGGGCTTGGTGGTAAACAATGGGAATTTATGTATTCCCTCCATTAAGCCCCCATTGTAATAAATCCCCAGTTGGGATTTGCCAAAAATTAAAAACATCCCACATCCTCTAATAAGGAATGTTGACAGGCCTTTGAAAGACATTTCACCTATCCAGACTATGGATAAAAGTAATTATGAATTTCCCAAAGATCAGGAACATTTATTAAGCCCCCAGCCTCTAATAACCCCCTGTCTAATAAGCCCCCAGGGGGCTACAGTGTAACTAGAGGAAATACGTTAAATAATGTGTTAACTCACCCTTTGTAACTCTTGGGTTAACTCTCTATCCTGTTGGGCATCCATTCCTTGATCCATATCTTCAGTTTTAGCAGGAACAGTGTGTTGCTGTGGTTGATAGATGTGTTCCTGACTCAGTTTTCTATGCATCTGGGCTGCCATGTGGGCCTCATAACTTGGTGGTGGGTTGAGATGATCAAAGAACAGTTGGCCTGAAGGGAGTGAGCACGATCTTCTGTGGACAAATGGGTTAGCAGGTTCAGACATGGAACGCTGCTTCTCTGCATCTTGTCCGACAGCATGCATCATGATACCACCATCTTCTTGTGTGTGTTCAGAATATGACCTTTGCATACTATCAGGTTTTTCTCTTGCTGGGTTGTATTCAACAGACTCTATTGGCCTGGATTTGTGTTCCTGGTGATGATGCGCAGGTGGTGCAAACATGTTTGGCGTTTGACAAGGAGAACCATGAGAAGGTGAAATAGGTTTGTTATCATGTGTTAAATGTTTCATTCCTTGATTCCAACCACTGAAGTCAAGTTTATCCATATGACTAAGATCTGGTTCACTATGACTAGCTGCAATATTCAATTTATTTGCTTCTGCCTTAAGATGCAGTAACCCCTGAGACTGGGCAGGTGAAAAGTTTTGCATATGTTTTTGCTGTTCTAAGTTAGCACTGTTTGTGATAAGAGATGGTGTAGCCTGTGTCATAGTTATCACAGGGCTTGGCAGATTAGTTGACAAAGGGTGTGAAAAGAATGGTGCTTGAGCATCACTAGTAGTCGTTGAGTGAGTAAACACCTGTCCCGAACTTTGCTGGATTTGTTGCTGACTAAAAACACAACTATCAGTAACATTTAGTTCTTTTTTGATAGGTGCCATTGTTGATACTTGCTGATGTTGATTTGCAACAGACACAGGCTGTTGACTACTGCTTGTCTGCACATTAAACTGTATTGGTTTTGGTTGAATATTGGTATGAGGTTGCACACGTAACTGTTGCAAATGTGTTTGCAGGTTAAGGTACTGTAGATGCTGTAGCTGTTGTTGTACCTCTGGAGGAAGCTGGGTCTGTAATTTCTTGCAGTTTGCCATCAACTGCATTTGAACTTGTTGAAGTCTGGCTTCATGTGCTGGAAGAGAATTTGACCTCCCTAACTTAGTGTGTCCATTGACTATTGTAGTTACACTAGATACAGGGATCGGAGAACCAGATGATATAGAACTCACTAGAGAACCTTGGTTGCTTTCCATTGAGTCATTTGATAAATTCTCTGTGGAATTTACTCCTTGGTCACCAGAAAAAGAGAGAGAGGCCTTTAACCTTTCTATTAAATCTGTTTTGGATCCAGAAACAGGTAATCCCCTCATCTTGAGTTCTTTTCTCATATCCACAACACGCATGTCTTCTATTTTCACTGGCTTCTCATCATCTACATTGTTGTTATTGTTTGATATTTTGGCTGTATTTTCTGGTATTGATGGCAGACTTACAAATTGAGGATAGTTCTGATACAATACTTGTAGCTGCAAGTAAAGCTGTTGTTGTTGGAGCATTAATGCATAGGGTGAATCCATAGGCAAATTACTTTTTTGTAGTTCACCATTTGGAGGTCTGTATTCATGATATTTGTACTTTTTAAACTTTGGCTTGGGGGATTTTTTTCTTGACCTTCCCTCTTTCTTTAAACTTTGTGATTCTTCATAAGGTTTGCCATCCAAAGGCTGAGATCCTTGAGACAACGTTATATTAGATGCATTTTTGTTGAAGAATTCTGCTATAGAAGTTGGTGGGATTTGAGTAATGAGAGAGTTTCCATCAGGAGAAGGTTCAGGAGAGCCATCAAATGACTCTGGAGAGATTGGTTCAAGTAAATGTGATTTAGCTGTCTCTGTATAGTCTATGTTTCCTTCTTGTATTGCAAGCCCAACAGCAGTTCCTTGTTCTAATATATTGTCCTTTACAAGCTCTAAAGGTCCAGGTCTAATAGCAAGCCTTTCATTTAAGTCATCTTCAAGCTTCTTTCTTTTGAGTTTCATCTGATTGGCTAACAACGATGGGTCAATTGCCTGGGACACATCTGTTAAAAAAATGCAATTATAAAAGATGTAGACTTGACAATTTAACATGTTCTGATGGAATAGTTTAGCATTGTTTTGTGATGGTTAACTTAAGAATGTATGTGTAACAATATCAAAAAATACAATATGATGATCAACATAAGGCTCATTGTTAGTTGTGCAGATGCAGGTAAAGGACCACCATAGCTGGTATTTATTCTCATTCAATAATGTCTAGATTTGCCTGTAGGTGTATCCATAAATAGTGACATGTCTATCAAGTTATTGATCATATTTTAATCTAGATTTCTTGTAAGTACACAAATTTAATGTGCATTTTTTTCTGGGTTGTTAAGCACTATTGGGCACCTATAGCTAATATTATTATTATCATTATTATCACCATGATTCTCACTCGCCTCTCATAGCTGGGGTTAATCTGGTTTGATTCCTAGACTCAGCATCAAATGTGAGTAGAGTTAGCTGTGCCCTGACTTTGATCAGCCCAGAGGCTGTTTCAGGGTATTGATAAAATTTGAAGGTGTCAAGCATTTTTTTTTATAGCAAGTAAATCTAGAGTTTTTGGGTCATTGACTGATCAAGAAAGTGGAAAACATCAAAAAAAGAAGCTAAAACAAGGAAAGTCCACAAAAGGATGGAAAATACTTTCAACTATACAAATGCACTAAGTTATAGCTTAGAGCATAAAAATGGTGATTCAATATAACTAAGGAAAAGGATCACTTTTAAATTATTAGACTTATTTTCTCATAATTACAATTCATTTTCATTTAAATTCCAGACATTCTTACTTCTTCTATTTCATTTTTTGTTTAGATCTATTGCTTTTTTAAAGTAACGAACATGATATTACAAATTTATGATGAAAAGCTAGTGCTAATGTGATCTTGGATCAAGCATAATATTACATTCATCTAGTTTTACTGGTCACACATTACTAACTATTACCTTAAGGCTACCAAGTTAATGGTGGGAAAAAATAAAGCTAAACCACAACAAATAAGAATATAACTGTATGCATACAAAACTATCAAAGATAATATTGCACCACCAAAGGTAAATCATTGTGATAACAAACCTAGCGTTTTTGAACATAATTCAAAGCAAAGCACCTTAATGGATGTTTAGTAGGCTTCAGTGCATAATACTGCTCTTCCAGCCATGGGGCAAAGAGATAAATCACATCAATTAACTGTATGCTTTAGGTTGATCAAAAACCTATTTCTTTTATGTGATAAAATAGATAATGTGACCTGTGTCTAGTCTTTGAATAGACTGTTCTTCTCACATATATATATATAATCTAACAATATTTAAAAGTCACCACAACAAAGACCTTCGAATTTAGAGCTATCTATCCTTTACTAGTAATTTATGAATGAAATTCATTATTCATGGTTATTACATTTTCTCTACAATGGAATTTCATTCAGCACCAGCAGGAATACGAGGAAAGAGAAAAGGAAATATGTAACTAGGAAACCAGCAGTAACATTCAATTTCCAAAATAAACAAAAGTAACAGCTCATGGCATCACTTTCTATTATAACTTTAGTTTGGTGGTTGTTACTTTTATCATTAGTACGAATAGGTTTTTTTTCATAATAATGATTGTCACACCATACTTCTATTGCTGTTTGTTGACTCAGATTTCATGAAAAGTCAACATATGGTCAAGATTTTTGAACACACCTGAAAGTGAAACCTTTTGAAGTTTCAAGTCTCGATGAGTGACATTGACTCGAAATTTACAAACAGTTGAGCAACTTAAAAGACGAAAGATATTTCAATAAATAACGAAACCGGTCAATAGTGACAGTTATCTCTAATGATGAACGAAAATAAGTCGAACTATCTCTAGTCTTGATAAATGAAAGCCAACTCATCAATAAGTAGTGAAGGAATGTTCCATCAAACAAGACTGTATTGTCACAATGAAACGAAGCGTGAAATTTTCAAAAAGATGGAACACACCGAACACACTACACACGAAATATTGTTGTTGTTGTTAATCTTTCTGAATTGACTGACTTTCGGTCTAAATTGTAATACCCAATCCATTTATGATACAAAACATTTCTGATTTCTTTAATATATTGATTATCTTGACGTATTGTCTAATAAATACATGTGTTTAGCTTGAAGGAATCGATGAGGAAAGTTAAGTACTTGCGTTAAAGTCAAACAACAGACTTACCATTTAGAATATGCCTCTGCACCAGCTGAGCCCGATTGGGACGAACTCGTATTTTCTTTTGTAAGTAATCTCCTGTCTGAGAAATAAAGCAATGGTTTGAAAATAGGTTACAAGCTCAATAAATAGCGTCAAAGTTGAATAATATATTTTGAAAGGTCACGAAAATAAGCTTAATTATTATGAAAGATTGTAAATGATTTCATACCTTTGCTCGCTCTAATTTGGTCTTCTGGGACAACAAAGAAGGAGCAGTAGCCAAAGCTAAGGAATGTAAAAGCAAGAAAATTATCTGTATAGTTCCACCAAGGTACAATACATTAAAATATGGGGTAAATCATTCTCAACGTTGCGCTTACCTGGCATGATGCCTTGGTCTATCAGTTGTTCGCGAGGAGTTCGTTGTTGAAGTTTCCTCTCCAAAGCTAAAGAAAATTGTTAAATGCAAAATTAAAAAATTGAACCAAAGAACTAAAAGAGAAAACCAATGATGAATAAAGTGTTTGATTCTAAAGATAAAGCTAAAAGTGTATAAAGACAGTTTTGGGGACTTTGTGCAAATGACTGCAGAATCTCTATCACAACAAGACTTGCCTTGTCGGTAATTCATGAGCTGTTGGTGGCTTACAGCCGAAGCTATTTCAGAACTGGCAACCCTAGAAAGGTTACCGTCCTTGTCAGTCTGCAAATCCATCTTGTTCTGGATTTATGACCCCTTATGGTTGGGTATATTAGTATTTTCCTTGGATAAATGGGTTTAATTTTTCCTCATGATCTTCTCGTCTTGACTATTATTCGCAGGGCATGGCGGACACTAAGCTACACTTCCCCGGATGTCAATGACGTCATTTTCGCTATTAAATACGCCGTCGTGATTGGTCTGTTGGGTTTTACATTAAATTCATAATTCCAATTTATTATTTTATCGATATGGGTTGTGAAGGTTTGCCCCGGAAATCAATATTGTGATATATTTTTATTAATGTAGAATAGACAACATGACTTTCTGTAAAATGATCACCGATTGACTAGTAATTTTAGACTTGCACTGGAGGCGTATCGGTCTTCCTCTCACTTGTATTGAACTACTGCGATACGAATTTATTTTATGAAGAAAGTTATGTTCAAAATTTTGAAAAAATTAGAAACATAAGATGCAAATATTTTTTGTCGTTGTTTTAAAAATATGGTTGCTATTCTTCCAATAACAAACAACATGTTTAAACAAAAATTCACTTAGTACTGAAAATATTTTGAGAAAAAATAAATTGCATTAATGAAATCATACTCGTCCAGACAGAAGTGCAAATCTTTAAAGAGGGCTGTAATCTCTGACCTTAATCCTTCTAACGAGTACCTTTGTATGACAAACTGTGATGAGACAAACCAAGTGAAACCAGTATGTCACAGTAGTCCCGGAGTAGTTGATACGATTATGTAAGTGCCATACAGGCCGCGGCTTCATTCAGAACTACCTAGCTAGATCGTAAATGATTAATGGAGAGAGCATAACCTTGAAGTTGTAGGTCATAATCATATGGATTATTTCAGTGTGTTTGTGCAAGGGAAATCCCGTACGGATATAAACGTGGGATACTGCCGCCTACCATGTTAGCAACAGCACCTATACTACGTACCCCAGTAGAGACAGTAGACAGAATGAAAGAGGAAAAAGCTGTTACGCGGGTAAATATAACCACCAATCGATACTAAATGAAACCAAACTGAACTGAATAGTTTATTCGTTATTTTCATTTTATAGTTATCATAACACTAGCTTTGAAAAAGAGCGATGAAATGCTTTTGAACTGAAGGTCTTTTTTTCTACTGATGGACTGCACCATCACGTCAAACAAACGGCGTGGCAACACTTGGCGGTTTAGGGTTAACAGAAGGGTACCAGCCGTTTCCAATCAGGAAATTTTAACTGAATGAAATGAGTAAATGATATCTTTTGGTTCTATATGAATCATCATCAAGATGTTGCAATGGTATTAACAGCCTGCCTTTACTGACCGAGAAGAAACAAATCCAGTCAATTATCACCCACGGACAGAAAATTGAAATGAACTGAGTATGGAAACTGTGAGAAGGATCGATGGAACCGAAACAAGTGATGAAGTTTAACAAATTAGGTTTCCTCAGTAGTGAACGTGAGATCATAGCAGAAGGGTAAACACCCGGAAAAATAATGGGCCGCAAAATTATTTTCCTCTCATTATTTGTTTATTTGCCAGTTTTTATCAGTTTCGGCCTGACAAGTTCTTTTCGTGCAGTTTAGGATCGAAAAGTGGTGATCAACGGCCTATAATAGCTGATCATTAAAGTGATTATCATTCTATAATGAAGAGTAAGAAGAAATTTAGTCGGTTCATGCAATGTAACGCACCAATTGAAACATGAAAACTTTGATCTCGATTGAAAGAACAAGTCATGCCGGCAAAGGAGTATGATGTATAGTATATAGTAGTATATAGTACATACAATATCAGTAGTTCATACCGTATTTGATTGGTTGACTGTGGTTGTTGTTGTTGTTTTTTGAGCTGCATGTGAAGACAGCATCCTTGTCAGTCTTGTCACTCATCAATGCTCCATTATGCCGCATTTCTGTCAGTGAAAAAATCATCAAGCTGCCGTTACTGCCCCCTTAATTCTTTAAATCACATACTTAATCATGAAATTGAATGGTTTTTTACAGGCCTCTAATTGACTTCTTTTCTACTCGGTATTTGCATGGTTCATGGGTAATTAAATTTGTAGGAATTTTATTGCTTAATATTAATCTTCAGTGTAAATTGTAGAACTTTTAAAGTTTATCGATATTTCCGTCTATACATGCTACCAAGATCTTTCAATAAAACTAAAATATACTTTCATAGCGAACAATCTTACATATACTTAAATAGGTTGTTATATATCACGTTATTATATTTGATTCCTTGGGCTACGGTTGGTCGGCGGTACTGCTGTCTGTTCATTTCGTGTAGCTCACTGAATCCGTAACAATGAAAATATTCATTCGAATGTACCAAAATGTACACAAAAGTGAATACATAATTGAGGCCTTGTTTGAAAAAGTTTTTCAATATGACAATAATTTTACTCACCAGTATAGAAGCCGTCTTGATCTCTCGTGATAGAAGGTCAAACATCAATGGCTGTCTGTGAGCAAGCAGAAGGTCAACCGTCGTAAAGTAAATTAAACCAGTCATGCAGTTGTCGGGCCTTCTACGTGTAGTTCAGCTCGTTACTAGTAACGTAACAACATGACTTTTTCTTCTGAGGAGGGTTGAGTACTGAAGAGCTATAGCAATACGGTATGGCAAAGGACAGCCCGTGTAATGAAGGTAGTTAGTTACACGTTAAATTGATTGGTTAACGAGAATTTAATTAAACTATGTGGGGATTACGTCATCGCTGACATGAATGTTGACGTTGCGTGACAAACCAGTTAAAAAACATTTAAAGCCTTCTCAGATTCTTCATAATATGTCAATATTTTACCTTTTTACCCTTAAAAAGTGAGAGTTTGTAAGTCGTACACGCTTATTTATTCAAGCGCTGGCAGCAGTTTCAAGTTTACAGGAGAAAGATACAAGACTTCAGTGGGCAGATATCATGCAAGGCAGCCGCCTCGTTTTCAGTATGACTAGCATGCAGGCCTTATCATATAATTATCCATAAAATACCTATATTTCTCCTTTTCGAAAAACTGATATTTTCACATGTTATTTTCACATGTGAAAATATCGTTACCATGTGTATTTAAGCTATTAGTTAGTTGGTTATAATAATAAAAAGCATTTTAAGTTGATTTTATGGATAATTTTATAATAAACAGAATATTACATGGGTGCTAGGAGATACGAAATTTATCTTCGAGTGTTGAAAAGATCCCTCGCGAGTGAGCGTCCATGTAACATCCTCTATGTATTTCACTAGTTTGCATAATACTAGGATTAGATTGAACTAACTTAGATTTAAATCTAATGTCTCCGTGGTTCCGATATACTGATTAGCATTGGCCTCTCAATCATTATCAATATTTTTGCTCTAACTTTACCTCAATAAGCATGTTAAGAACTGCTTATCTAGTTGTAGAACAATCTAGTGACTGATAAGGACCTCCACTGTTGCTATGGTAATCAAGTTATTTTATAGCTCGGTGAAATACGAGGTGAAAGGGTGACAAATACTAAAAAGAAGCTTTCTTTAGTTCTTTTGTTAATTGCCTTTAGTTCTTTCAGTCTTTGAATAAAAGAATCGAGTCTTCCTTTCTTTTTCTTTTCCTTTCCTTTTTTCTCTCTCCTCGAACTCGTGCACTAATAATGCAGCTGCTAAACCAAACCTAAACCCATTTAAGGAAAGAAAACACAGGGGTCTTAAACAAAACTTCAACCGCGTAATCAAATGTCAAGATTTTGGGATAAAAAGAGGGAAAATCCTGGGGTTTTCCCCTGGGTCGTAACTACATACGTCACTAGCACTGCTTAAAACACATCGGCCGGCTCTTATCTGAAGGCTGTGACAGGAAATCAAATGAGCCATGATACTTATTGGCAATACTGACCGGATGTCATTCACTTTTGCTTTCTCCGGTCCGACTCAGTAATGTCAAATACACGTGATTTTCATGGGTGTCAACTGCATATGTACTGAGCTATCCACGACTAACAAATACAAAACAATTAATAATATTGGTAGGCAGAGAATTTGTTAGAAGTGGAACTTCATGACGAGGAACCATGTGTAATTACCTCCCTCTAATTAATTCATACGTGAAATATCATCACGAAAGAATCATACAGTTTCACAGTCAGTTAGTTATGGATTGTTTCTTTGTTATAATTACCAATAAATGTGATGCTAAAACGTCACAGGTGGAATACGATTACTGAGGCAGCACGGCACGGCACGGCACGGCACGGCACAGCACAGCACGGCATGTAACGTCTGGTCTATCATGCATGGTGACATTGTACATCTAATACCTGCTACAAAGTAATCTACAAAGTTCAGTATTGGACATAACAGCTCATGGTGTGATCCACTAAGAAAGAAGAATATTCTTTGAACTGGAATGACTTCAAAGGTCATCTTTCATTTGATATTCCCCCTTCATCTTGCGCACTGTTTATTCGTTTCAAAGTTTCTCTCATCTAAGGTGATTTGTTCGCAAATGCCTGGGGGGGGGGGGGGGGGGGGGGGGGGGGAATGGAAGGGACTGACCGTCCAGGGTAAAAGTATCGGGTATGTTCTTCGTATCTCTTAAGGTGCTAACACAGGGTGCAACATTGCACGCAACATTGCAGGCAGCAAATTTTGAATCGGGATGACCCACATTGACGCAACAGCCTGCTATGTTAAGATATTTGGTCAGCACTAGTTATAAATTTGGTTCAAGGTGATTGGCTGGAAATTTCAAAATGTTGCAGGTAACGCAATGTTGCAGCCATGTTCACATGATGAAATTTGTTGCGCGCAATGTTGCGAGAGTAGAGCGCGATTCAACTTCAGATTTGTTGCATGCAACGTTGCGCGCAACAAGTTTGGGGTAGACACACTGCAACAGTCCTGTTACGTGCAATGTTGCATTCAATTTTGCACTGCGTGTCAGCACCTTTAGGGGTAAAAGTCAGCGATTTGGTATTTTTTAGGGTGTTAAAATTGAAATTTAGCATTTCGGCATATCTTGGCATCTCTTAAGGTATCTCTTAGGGTTAATTTGAAATCCGTCAAACCACTCTCTCTAAAAGATGTTTGGTATTTTTAGGGGTATTTTTGAAAATTTCCGACTTGCATACCCGATACTTTTATCCCGTAGACACCCCCTACAAAGCTGCCTATGTTTTGTTCGTTAAAGGTTCGGGCACTTATTTCATGCTATGCAGTGCGGAATTAACGATTCTGTGATGTGCGCCATCTTGTGATTAGTTGTAATGGCAGTTGTAACTTATAAGTGTGTGTTCTCGTGCGATGTTAAAAAGTCTTTTAAAATCAGTATTTTTCGATCATATTTGTCTTTTCACCTTGATAAAGTGATCTTTAGCGCGCGTCATCATGAGTACGAGCATGTCATGACTTAGGTACTCGTGGCGTAAAGGAAAACATCACCGAAAAGATGGTCTAAATTCTTGGTTTGTAACAATCACATATCGAAAAACACTTCATAGAAATTGTGTGAAATATAAAAACTCGTGTCTTTACTTAGTTAGCTGGTCATTTTACTGGAGAAAACCAAGAGAACTAATCAAACTAATTCCTTACTCCATTAACTATCCTTAGATCTATCACAATAATCGTACACCATTACCAGCTGTTTTCGCTCCCTCGTCGTGGGTCGCTACTTATGAATGAAAACACACGATTTTCCTTCTCTAGAATATCTTTAATTCTTGTACTAATTCCTCAATATCTGGGACTGTCGAGCGTGTCGAGCGTGACCCTTACATGTGTATTGGCAATAGTCAACTGTGGAATATAAACGCTAATTCAACTAAAAATCACTTAA